TGGTGGTAATTTATCGGGTTTCATCACTACGAAACACATTTGCTAGGCAGTTACCCCTAAAAAATTGTCCTTCCACAAATCACTATACTCCAATCATCATTCGTCGGTGGATGGTTAGTGGTATACATGAGGTCCACTAATATTCCATCCTCGCATTACTAACTGGTAGGAAGCAGCTAAGTGTATGAAGCGTAGTGAAAAAGAAAGACTGGTAAAGAATAAAAAACTCTAGACATTTCATCAATGAAGTCGAATCCAGAAGACAGTCACTTCAATATCTCAATTGATTCCCTCACTTGCCATTTGATATGGAGACGAATAGGATTATTCTTATGCACCAAACGGGATTTAATGGTGCAGACATCTTTTTATGGACGATTACAGCAGGCCACATTGGACTCATGCTACTGAGAAATCTCATGAATGGATCATTACAACCTCTTACTAAAGGTCGTCTGTCGTCTTTTAATTATTTAAGATAATCAATCGCGTTCAAATTATGATCATGTATCATATCGATTTTTTTTCATTTATCATAAAGATCAGATCTTCAACTTTCGGAAACAGTTTTGAGTTTGTTTCTACAGTCATTAGAAGTCGAGACGCATCAGATTAATCACGAGAGTATAGGTTATCGAATTCATGAAAAACTGTTTTTCTTTTCTTCTACACCAACCGAGGGCTGGTGGCCAATTGTCTAGCGCTCTGGCCTTTATTACCACAGGTTTCAGATTCGAATCCTACTACTACTACACCATACCACATCACTGTGCCTAGAGCTGAGGTGCCCCTTTACAGTTTGGAAATGATGTGGGTGAGAAGAAGTCTGATTGGGCTCTGTGACACTCTACGGTCATATGACACCGGGACCTACGGCTTAAAGTGGATTCAGACCCTCTACAAGCAACCATGTCACCGCCGGGATACGAACACGAAACCTGTGGTAACGTGGGCTAGAGCGCTAGCCACTGGGCCACCTCAGATTCGAATCGCAAGTAATTACACCACAGGTCCCGGATCTACAGGTTAATGTGGATTCTAAACCACTAACAAACACCCATGCTACTGCCAGGTCTAATTAGCCTAAAGTGTGCATAAAACGACCGTAGAGCAACAAACCAAATCTACACCAACCTATGAAAATAGATATAACTAGCATAGTTATTTTTAGAATCTACATCAAACTAAAAATTTTCAATAAATTCATTGAAATATACGTTATTGTCTTTTTTTATTAAAACAAATTACCTTTTTCCTACTTTCAATGGCACGACCGGCTCTAACTCTCGAAAATTTTAGAAAACTTTATAATAGACACGAAATAATAAAGTTTAATCTACAAAGTTGGTGCTTTCCATTTAATTCAAATGCTTACCCATCATAACCTTTTTTTGAAATTTAGCTTAATAATTAAATATCAAAGGGCAAAGTGTCATTATAAACATATTATACTAACAGATTTTGTTACATTATTCCTTCTAGAATACGACTGATAAAATGGAGCTCACGCCTTAAAGCAAGAATTAACCTTTAAGCTCCATTAACTTAATTTGAATAATTTTATTCAAGACTTAAATTCCGCATTCATATCCCAGAGTTTAATTTATAATTCTCTTAAATGAAGCAACTTCATAATCCTTAACTTTAAAGAAAAATATTTTAATACGAGATGTTTAATGAGTTTCAAATTCAAGGAAATCTCGCAGTTTTGAGAAAATTCCCTTTAGAGTTGCTTCTTGAAAAATTAAAATATTGAAAATAAAATATTTTACATTAGAAATTTCTAATTATATTCCTAGAGTTGGGTAAATGTTTTCTACTTGTAAAAATTGTATTCGTCATAATTAAAAAGAAAATATAACACGTTTCGCCGTATTTAAATTTTTTATTAAGATTCCGTCGTGATATTTTAAATTAATATAATTTACAAAAACTGAAAAATTAAAATTTTAATTTCTTAATTTCAGTAAGTTATAATAGCTGCCCTAATTAATAATTAGTTGTCATAGTTGTTCATCGACGTATAAATTTCGTATCGCGTTTTGTGTGCGATTGTGTATTCATATCCTTTAATCTTTGAAATCCTTTAATTTTATTTGCTCGTTATGAATTCAATGACGAATTGTGGCAAAGCAAAAAAAATGTAATTGCATAAGATAAAACTTTATATAATTCTATGCTGTTCGTTCTGTCAAAACCACATAAACAGCACTGGTCGCACTCAGTACAAAACATAAAAATTGCCATAATTCATTGAAAGTATAAATAAGTTGACATAATTCGTTGAATGAATAAAAAATTACGTGTACAAAACAGTTGTTACAATTTATTCAAAGTATAAATAATTGTAAGTACAAAAAGTTGCCATAATTCGATTGCAATTGAATATGCAAAAAATGTTTTTTTAAAATTACAATAATTCATTGAAAGTAGGAAAAAAAAGTATAGGAAAATTTCCTTAATTCATTGAAGATACAAAAATTGCCTTAATTCATTGAAGGTACAGAAAATTCCCTTAATTCATTGAAGGTACAGAAAATTGCCTTAATTCAATGAAAGTACAAGAAATTGCCTTAATTCATTAAAAGTTCAAAAATATGCCTTAATTTGAAGTTAAAAAAAAATTGCCTTAATTCATTGAAGGTACAAAAAAGTAAATTCTGAAAAAAATTAATCAGAGGACAACACCTATAATATGCATTGTTTTCCACAAAACTTCAATAGAAAATAACAATAATTGCACATAACAATGTTTTAGAGATGTTAAAATTTACCTGCATGCGCATCGAGGCGTAGTAATTCAGTTCACAAGATCCAACGACGTAGAGTCTTCGAAAAGACAGTAAGTTCTGAAGGCAGTCGGCATGTGCAAATATTAACACAACTATTAATTAAACCACGTTGACGAGAATTAGCCGTCAATTACAGTTGACGAAATAAAAATTAAAGCTTCTTTACAAGGGTTACTTTAAGTCGACACTAGATAGCGCTAGCAATCAACTTAGTAAAATCCAATTTTCTGTGTATTGGAAAGATTTCTTTAGCAGTTGATTTCAGCAGTTATTTAACAAGGCTTCACAGCTTTGGCGCTAGGTGGAGCTTAACGACAGTCGATCCAACTCTTCAGATAGCAAGTAGTTTTTTTTTTATCAGCAGTTGATTTATTATTTTTAATTGTGTTTGGATGTTCAAAATATTGATTCAAATTGCAGTGAATATTTTTTCCAGTGAGATTGTTCTAATCATTTAAAGACATGATAGGTTGTACTGATATCATATAATACATATAAGATACTATACATTTTTTCTTAATTCTATTAAATTTTCTTATCAAAGAAGCTTGTCAAAATGAAGAATGTTAACTAAAACAGATGGATCACCAGACTTTGACTAATTGAGCGATGGATTACTTTCATTTTTAGTAAAAAATTTTTTTTTTTTTTTCTCTCTCGCTGATTCAATTGTCTCAGCACAATTTTAGAATAGTCTCATTCTTTTAGTTTAATGCATGCATAGTGGATGCATGTATGCATACATGTAAATGTTGTTTTGCATATTCTTTTAATTATAAATGTTTGAACAATCTCGAAAAATTCACTGTTTTGGCAAGTTTTAATATTTAAAATATATATGTATAAATTTCAATTTTCATGTTTGTCAGTGTTTTATAATCTAATTTCATTTCCTTGGTAGATGCTTTGATATTTATGTTCGCATTATGTTTTATCTCTGTTATAAAAGTTATAAATTTAAAAAAATAGCTGCAAGAAATTTCCTTAAAACAGTTACAAATTTTGACAATGAACATGAAGAGTTATCTTGAGTCAAAAAAGTAAAATATCAAATTTTTGCAAGTAAATCCATTAAAAAGTTTCATACTGCGATATAACTTCGTTTACAGTAGAACATTCCTCAAATATTCGCAACCTGGTGGCCAATTGGCTAGCTCTCTGGCCTTTGGTACTACAGGCTTCGCGTTCGAATCCTGGAGGTTGAATGGATGTTTGTGAGTGGTTTGCAAACCACTTTAAACTGTATGTATAATTAGTCCAAAGTGTGCACAAAATAATCATAGAGCGACAAGCCAATCTCCACGCCATAATTTTAGGGGCCGGATGGCCGAGGGACTAGCGCTCTGTAGCGCAGGTTTCAGGTTCGAGTCCAAAAGGTGCCATGGATGTTTGTAGAAGTTCGGAATCCCTTTTATGCCGTATGTCCCGGTTTAATAGGACTGTTGGGCGTAAGGCTGACAACCCTTCCTCGTAAAAAACAAAACCTCTCCTGTCCAAATCTGCCAGTATTCAGACGGCATTGGCCAACCATGGGGCTGTTGCGCCCCTGATGAAGGTGATCGCCAATTGACTAGAGCTCTGGCTTCATGTTCGAATCCTTTTGGTGGCATGGATGTTTAATAATGATTCGGAATCCAGGTTAATCTATAGGTATCAGTCTAGTTAGCCCAAAGTGTACACAAAAGGATCGTAAAGTGACAAGCCGAACCCCAAATATTCGTATCCCGCTATAGGGTATTTGAAATAAGATTACTTAATGAAGTGCTTAAGCGTGTTCCTATAATATGCAAAATTAACCATCCAATATTTTTGTAATTTTTAAAAAAAATAATTATCTATAGTTATGTTTTTAAAAGAAATATTAAAAACCAAGCATTTTTTTTTCTTCAATATTCTGTCACACTTTATTGAATCACATCAGAATATCCAAACCCCTTCAATCAACTTGAGAATTTTGATAGCTTTCTTAATGTGACATTTCAAAATGGCCGAAATATCTTTTGATATCCACTGTTAAAATCGAACAAAAGTGTGAACATGTTTCTTCAATTTTATGAGCACATGGGCTTGTAACATTGGATTCATAAAAGGAATTAAAAACCTAAAGTTAAAGATGAATAATTAATTATAATTGTTAAGTGTCATATAAGACATTTAATATGGAATACAATAAAGAATATGTCCAATATTTTAACACATAACGATGCCAACGGCCATACAATGTTGAATATACCGGTATTTCGTTAGATCACCGAAGTCAAGCATCATTGGGCGCGGTCAGTACTTGGGTGGGTGACCACCTGGGAACACCGCGTGCCGTTGGCATTCACAAATTTGGGACCTGAATGGCCGTGTGTCTAGCGCTCTGGCCCTCGGTGGCACAGGTTTCGGGTTGGAATTCCGGCGGTGATATGGATGTTTGTAGTTGTTCGGAATCCACTTTAAGCCGTAGGTCCCGGTCTCCTAAGACTGTAAGAGCGTCACGGAGTTAAAGTCAGACTTCTACCTACGGGTGCTCCATCACAACAGAAGCTACTTTTCTTCCCCTTCAATTATGAGTACGTATGGGCTCGTGGGCTTGGCCAGCCAAGTGGGATAAGAAACAACAACAAACATATAACAAGTAATATAAAAAAAAAATGTTTAAAGTAATTCCTTTTTTTATACACTATATTGCAGAAAGTTCTTTATAAATAATTTTTATTTATTTTTTTAAGTTTATCTGGCACCATCTATTGGTTGATATATGCAACTTAAATCTTAAAAAAACTAAAATTGCTTCATTAAATTTAATTACTGAATTAATATTTGTGAAAACTGTATTAACCTCAAGTGTCATCCACTGTAAGTTAAAAAAAAAGTATTTGAACTTGAGTGGATGAATAAAAAGTGTTTTATGAACGATTGAAAATTTGAACAAGATATATGTAGGGAGAGTGTGAGCTAATAGAAGGAATTGAAAAAGAATTGGAAATTATAATGAAAAGAAACTTGTGCTTCTTTTAATTTGTTTAATAATTATTAAAATTTTTTAAATAGTTTCAAATTATTAGGATTAAATTTAATTGAAATGAAAAGTAGCTTAAAATTATTGGGAATTATTAAATTATATCAAAAAGAACGTGAGAAGTTTCAAGTTTAGAACAAAATTTCATTGAAATTAGTATGAGAAGTTTTAAATTATTAGGATTAAATTTCATTGAAATTAGTATGAGAAGTTTTAAATCATTAGGATTAAATTTCATTGAAATTAGCATGAATATAATTTTAAATTATTCATGCTAATTTCAATAAAATTTAGTCCTGATATTAATCTATCCTATAATTCAAGTCTAATTTAATTCTAGATTAAATTTCGTTGAAATTAACAAGAGTAGTTCAAAATTATTAGGATTAAATTTCATTGAAATGAACACAAGTATTTTCACATTGTCACAATTAAATTTTTATGAAATTAACATGAGAAATTAAAAAAAAATATTAGGATTAAATTTCATGAAATATACATGGGTTGTTTAAAAAATTAGGATTAAATTTCATTGAAATTACCATGAGAAATTTCAAATTATTAGGATTAAATTTCAATGAAATATACATGGATTGTTTAAAAATATATATGGGTTCCAGAAAAATATATATGGGTTCTAGAAAATATATATGGGTTGTTTAAAAATATTAGGATTAAATTTCATTGAATTGAGTGAATAGTTTAAATTATAAAGATTAAATTCCATTAAAATCAACAAAAGTATTTTCACATTATTACGATTAAATTTTATCAAAATTAACATGAGAAATTTCAATGAAATATGCATGGATGTTTTAAAAATTATTAGGATTAAATTTCATTGAAATTAACATGAGTAATCTCAAATCATTAGTATTAAATTCCATTGAAATAAATACAAGGTAAAGCAATGTTTAACGGATTGGGCATCAGAAGGTATTGTTGTTGTTGTGCAGCTTCTATTCTGAGGGAGCATCCGTAGGTAGAAGTCTGACTTCTGTTCCGTGTCGCTCTTACAGTCATAGGAGACCGGGACCTAAGGCTTAAAGTGGATTCCGGATCACTACAAACATCCATGGCACCGCCGGGACTAGAAACCGAAACCTGTGGCACCGAGCGCCAGAGCGCTAGTCACTCGGACATTTAGGCCCATGAGAAGGTATTTATTAGATATGTGAATCCGAACATCTAATTTCTATGCTAGATATGGATGAGATAAATGTATTGCCTATAAATATATATACTATCTGAAAAATGTGAGCGAAATTGACACTGCAAAAATATTCGCTTAATATTGTGATGGAAATAGGAACCAACTTTCACTTATCGAAATGGTGTGCCTATCTTAAAGGCTTCAATACCCCTAACATATTTCTAAAAGCGAAGCTTAAACGTCTATGCGTTAGAGGGAAAATATATCTTTAAAATGGATATTATTTATCTATCATTTGGCATATTTTTCAAATATTCTTAGTATATAAGTAGATAAAGAACAAAACACACAAAACACAATAAATTATAGTTTAAAAACACTAAAAAACAAGATTTTAGAGTTAATCAAACTAAAAAGTAAAAAATAATTGTTATCATAAGAATAAAATGACTGCCGAGAAAAGGAATGTCACTGTTCCAAAAGAGTGGGGTGCTTTGTGTGACATTTTTAAACTAACTCTGCATTTCGGAATGAAACTGGTGAAAAATTATAACGATTGATATCTACGCTTTTAGAACAATGGCATTCATTTTCTCGTCAGATTTTATTCTTATGTTAACAATTATTTTTTACTTTGATTCACTCTAAAAGCGTGTTTTGAAACTATAATATTCTAATGCGGTCCCGGTACGGAGGACTGGAACTGTAGTTTTTATAATAATTTAATTGTGAGTAAAACAAAGGCTAAATGCGAATATGTCGAGCCAGCCAGGATTCGAACAGGGATTCTCCTGATCCGTAGACAAGGCGCGTTATCCGTTGTGCCACTGTCCCACGTAGGCTTGAATGTCTTAGGTACTTTCATTGTACATGGGTTAAATTGCTCTTCATAAGTTAAAATAAAATCACTCATCCTGGCAATCCTAATCACGATGAGATAATAAACATATCAAAATATTTTAGTGTCGTCGGTCCTTGATAACTCTGCAACGTTTAAATTAAATCTGATCGCTTAAAGTAGGGCAAAATCGAGCCCAAAGAGTCAGTTACAAATAAACAAACAGGTGAAACTAATAAAAGCGTGTTAAAAACCAAAGGAGAAGTGACAAGGAGTGAACTAGAAACCATCATAGTATTCACAATATCTCTAATTCAATCGCAATTCGATTCGCAATCTCTTGTTTGTCTTCGACCTGAAGGCCAAGTGGGCCAAGAAGGCCGCTTTGTCCCTTGGTACCACAGGCTTCAGGTTCGAATCCTGGCTGTAACAGGGATATTTGTGAGTGGTTCGGAATCCACGTTAAACGGTAGGTCTCGGTCTAATTATCCCAAAGTGTGCAAGGAATGACCGCAGAGCAACAAACAAAACCAAACTTGTTTGGCTTTAAACGAATCCTTCAATTTCCGCCCTCTGTGAGGCCTCATTGATATCTGGAGTAGATACAGTAATATTCGCTTTGGCAGAGCTTGTTAGACTATAAAACGAATTTTTCCAATTTCGGAAATTCAATGTCATATCTAACAGGACACTGTGGTTAAGATTTATTTACGAAAATTTTATTTTTTCATATTCATGTAGGAATAATAAAAAGCATATTGGAAAATTCCATCACCTGCTTTTGTTTGAAAATGTCTATTTATGCATTCTGGGGAATTATTTTGCATTGCTTTGTGTCTATTTGGCATTGCTTTGTGTCTATTTGACATTGTTTTTCAAGATTCAAGCCGATTTCTTAACAACCATGTTCCTAACTTCCCCTCCAGTTTGTTCAAAGTTAATACCTGTCATAATTTTTTTGAAAATTAGCAACTTAATATAATATTTATAAATTCATTTGAACCTAAAAATTAAAGTCCTTAAAAAATATAAATACACGACACTGGTCTATACAAAAATTAGAATGTAGGTTACTCGTCAATACAATAACAGAAATACAAGATGCCTAGACAAAAACAGGAATATTCTTCAGTAAAAACAATTACAAGATTCTCGTCTGTACAAAAATAGGAATACGGGATGCTTGTCTGTACAGATCAGGAATACAGGATACTTTTCTGTACAAAAACAGGAATACATCATGTTCATCTATAGAAAAACAGGAATACAGGATACTCATCAATACAAAGACAATACAAGTTAGTTGTCTGTACAAAGACAGGAATATGTCTGTACAAAGACAGGAATATAGGATAATTGTACAAAGACAGGATTACAGGATACTCGTCTATACAAAGACAATACAGTATACTCGTCTGTACAAAGACAGGAATACAGTATAATCGTCTGTACAAAGACAGGAATACATGATACTCGTCTATACGATACTCTCGTAAGACAATACAGGATACTCGTCTATACAAAGACAATACAGGATACTCATCATTCAAAAACAATACAAGACACTCATCATTACAAAGACAGGAATGCATCATACTCACCATTACAAAGACAGGAATACATGATACTCGTCTATACAAAGACAATACAGGGATACAAATACAATATAGTCGTTTATGCAAATACAATACAAGATACTCATCATTACAAAGACATGAATGCATGATACTCACCATTACAAAGACAGGAATACATGATACTTGTCTATGCAAAGACAATACAGGATATACGTCTATGCAAAGACAATACAGGATACTCGCTCTATACAAATACAATATAGCATACTCGTTTATGCAAATACAATACAAGATACTCATCATTACAAAGACATGAATGCATGATACTCACCATTACAAAGACAGGAATACATGATACTTGTCTATGCAAAGACAATACAGGATACTCACATTCAAAACAATACAAGACACTCATCATTACAAAGACATGAATGCATGATACTCACCATTACAAAGACAGGAATACATGATACTTGTCTATGCAAAGACAATACAGGATACTCATCATTCAAAAACAATACAAGACACTCATCATTACAAAGACATGAATGCATGATACTCACCATTACAAAGACAGGAATACATGATACTTGTCTATGCAAAGACAATACAGGATACTCATCATTCAAAAACAATACAAGACACTCATCATTACAAAGACATGAATGCATGATACTCACCATTACAAAGACAGGAATACATGATACTTGTCTATGCAAAGACAATACAGGATACTCATCATTCAA